TAACGTGCAAAGGACCCTAGAGGCAGCGACAGCCTTCCTGGATTTTTGAAAGAATGAGGTCGTCGAGGTTTTGTGTTTAGCGTTTCAGACCTTGTGATTTCGGCGCGTTAGGGGAGGGAAAAGCCACTATTTAACCTTACCCTAGCTCCCCCGAGCGAGGTTGGCACATGCCCGTCTGGACTCGCAGGGCCCGGGTAATACCGGGTTTTTTCTAGCTGTTTCTTCCGCGCTGCTAGCCCTATCCATGCCATACGCGTAGATGTTGCATGATCGTAGGTAGGGATCCCTCCTCTTCAAATTCACATATCATGGGCCTCGGCTAAATAGACTACTCCGGTCAAGGTCAGAAGAGAAGCGACGGTGTCTGTTGATATAGTATCTGTGAAGACAGAGCATGACGTCATAGTTTTGGCCAGTCGATCTGGCCCGACTTGCTGTGGAGCCGGGCACTGTGTAGACTATCTACAGGCTATTTGGTGTCGACACGTTTTGTCTCATCAGGTTGAATAAACAACAAAAGACCACCAAGATGTATTATATCTCTACTGTACTTCTTCCGTGCAGCACGCAAGATGAGCCTTTCAGTCTTTGATGTATTTACCTCTGAATATAACAACCAACAGGTTGTCACTTGTCATACATGACAAAAGGACATTTGACCTTCATTACTGAGCTTTCGACCCCGCAACCCACTATTTCAAGCACTGTCATCTTTCAGTAAGACATCGGGAATCTGGAGAGTTGATAGCATCATGTACGGTACTGTGTAGGTCGTACTTGTACATGGAGACTATTCCAGTCAAACGCTTGCTCTCTCAGAAGACTGAAGCTGGAACACAGAATGGCAGTCGAACATGGGCCAACTTATTTTGTCGAGCGCAACCAAGGACGGTTAGGTTTGGACCGCTTGGTCAGCATCTCAAGCTCTAGATAATAAACAGCCGTGATTAGTCTCCCTGATCGGATGTTGAGACATCTGATACGAAACAACCAGCCAGGCCAGTTCAAGTATGGAAGTCGCCAGCACGTGTTGTTTCACAAACTGGATCTAAGAGCCGTTCGTGGCAGTTGCAAACGAGCTGGGCGTTGTCTTTTTGATTGGCTCAGTGGCGCTTGTCATTGACAGTGTTGATTCAGGGCAGTTGTAGTAACATACACTCATTTACGACGCCAGCATCTCCCATATTCATGTCCGATTCAAGCTTCTTTCCCTCATTCAAAATTCCTGGCTACACTGCGTAGTGGCAGCCCTATCTCTGAAGCACCCTGGTAGGTACAAAGTGTGGCTGTTCCTCTCTCGCAGGTACCTTAAACCTTTACGTCCCTTCATTGCCCTAGGACATGAAGCCTCCATTTGACAAGCCTACACAGCTCTCCTCACACTGTGAAAAAGTCTATCTGTCACTTCTGTGACAGAACAGATATAGCCACGTACTGTGATACCACACTGGAAAAGCCGATTTCCAGTTGCCGCCTGCTAGATGTGCCACTGTCACTGCTTGCCCTTGCATATCAACAGGCAACCCCCAACCCATCTGCTGTTGGCCGATTTCTTGGCGATGAAGGGTCTCTTGGCATTGTAACCATCTTCCCAAGCGCTTGGGAACCCATAACTCTTTAACCTAACCTACTACTTAGTACCTAATTTAACCTATCTCGCACTGGTGAGCAGGCATTCACATTTCATTTTCTTGTACCGAGTTGTCCTCATGACTCTGGTCGAAACACGCAAGAGATATGTCCACCGTCAGAGACTCGTAATCAGGGGGGCGGTGTCCAGCGGGCTCCCCTGTAAGAGCATGCGCTTTTGCTTACAGCGTCGGGTGCTCGGCATCAAATCAATCTGAACCCACACCCTTGTCTTGCCGCAAGCCGTATCTACATGTGTCATGTCTACACACAATTTGTTGACAGTGGCTCGGTGAGAGAAGCAGCTCGGCTAACCATGCCGTCTACTGGTCTTGAAATTAACCTGCATCTGCTTTCATTGTTTTATTTATCCCCCGGCCTTTCCGTAGCTTCCAGACTCCAGCTCATATGTCGCAGCTTTATTCACGACAACTTCCAGGCCCGCCTGCGCCAGCCTCAAATTGTATGTTCTTTGTCCTTTCACATACAATCATTCCTTCTGCCTGCTCAAAAGCTATTGTTGGCTCGCAGTCTTTGTTCACAGTGCTATGGCACTGACATATATCTCAGCCGCAGTTCAGTACCGGTTGAGGTGCATAATGTTCCAGAAGCTTACACATACATGCATGCATACGTACTCTGAACCTTAAACAACGACTTTGCAAACACGCTTGAAATCACTACAAACAACACTTTTGTTTACTTTCTTCCTCCTCCGCCTTTCCTCCTCGTAATATGGCAATCTCCGCTGTACCTTGGACAAGGAGGAGCCGGAGCAGCAGCAGCAGCATCTTATCAAGAATCTACAGCTTCTCGTCGACCGAGTCCGACAGCAGTTTAGCAACAACCACCATGTCGACCTCATCTACCAGCACCACCGGCAGCTCTGCCGGCAGCAGCAGCAGTTCGTCGAGCCGCTTGAATGATACAGGCTTCCCCGAGTCGTTCGCCGCGTTCACGACATCTCGACGGCATCCGGACGCCCGCGTCGACCCGGGCTTTGCCATCTCTTCAGAACACATCGATCCCGCGAGGACACTGAAGCGCTCGCAGACGTCGCTCCTACGCAAGCACCGGCGTACTACCGACTACGGAAAGATCCCCAAGAACGATGGGCCGCAGACCAACTTGTCCGCGCTAGCCTCCGGCTCCTCCTCCTCTGTCATGCTCGGGCTTTCTTCAAAAGACAGGAACATCGGCGTGCAGGAGCTGGCTGGGGCGAGCAAGATGGGAAAGGCACTGGTGATTCCGACACAACCCAGCCCACCAGAGCTTAACAGGCGGGGCAGCAAGGTCTTTCGGAGATTCAAGGGAAAGAAATAGTTCCCTCATCAGATGACGTCGCACGGAAAGTTGCGCCTTTCTCTTTGCTCCACCTGAGCTATAAATCCTCACGACATGCCGTCGACCAAGGATCGATAATGCTCGGGCGTTTTTCATGCCACGGATGCAAATATGCCCCTGCTTCCCGACACGTTTTGGAGTTTTGCTTTTGGGATGCTGGATTAGCGTGGAGTCTTCCATGCGTTGGTTCATTTGCATTTTGGGTGGGTACCAAATTCATACCTATTTCATTTTCACCTCGTCCGACTGGCAGGTTCTGACAGAGACAGACAGACGGATGGTAAGGTACATGCCCGGCAAACAGAGAGGAAAGTTGCGAGATACTGTGTATCACTAGGCTCCCCGAACGAGAAGAGTCACCTAGTCGTCTTCTCGACTCTGCAAATAGTTGGGGTTGATAATTATACGAGTATTACTTTACTTTACTTTGACCTATCCACAGTCAGCTGCGTCGCGTTTCATTTCCTCTGCGGATTGCTGACGGACTAACGTGAAGAACCTACTTACTTGTAACTCCTCTGCATTTTTTCATTCACGGTGATCTCTCCAGTTTTGTTATTGCATGCATCATTTATGCGCTTAGATTCATTCATTTGATCCATCTATTTTTTCTTGTCGCCAACGCTCTGTACAACTGTTAACCAGGCTTAACTTCCCATATATATACGCATCATCTATCTATCTCTACCACAGTTGCCCTTCCTCGTCTAATCTAACCTTAGGCTACTTAAGTACTAGGCTGTCTAGACCAGAAAACCAGCCTCCTGTCTGGCCATAGCCTCTTTCCAACTTTCCTCTCCTCCCCCGGAGCGCACGAACTCCTTGACATCGACCACGTCCTCGGACCCAAAGTTTCCGTACAGGTGAGGGCATCCGGGGGTGTCCCAGTTCGTGATGGGGTGGAAGGCCGGCTTGAACCGCAGCTTGAGGACGTGGATGCTGGTGTGCTGGGTGAAGAAGAGGTCTGCTGTTATTGGGATCTGGGATATATATATTTTTTATTTTTAGTTTTTATTTTATTTTACTGTGAGTTAGGGAGTGTGTAGCTGTAACGCTGAGAATAGAGAGAGTGCGTGAGTGTGTGTGTGTGTGTGTGTGTGAAGGATGAAGGATGAAGATGCGATAATGAGAAAAAGACTTGATTTGAGGGGGAACAATTAAGAAAATAGAAAGGAAAGAAGAAAACAGTAGGGAAGAGAGGGAGTGAGTGAGAGAGAGAGAGACTCTGTACCTGCGACGCGATACTCAGATGCACGAACCCGTCCTTCTGGTCCAGGTCCGAGAGCGGGTAGGCGGCCGGGATGGGCGACGGCGGAGCGGCCGGGATGATCTTGTATACGTATTCGGGGAGGGGTGATGGAGGGGCGGCCATGATTTCTTTTCCTCGCTCTCTCTTTTGTTTTTTCTTTATCTTTTGTTTTCTTTTCGACTTTTTGTAGGGGGTCTTGTTTTTATGCGAATGTTCTATTTTGACGGAGAAATTGAAAGGGTCGAGTGAGAAGGAATCTGGATTAATAGTTTTGTAAATGATGAAAATCCCGACGGGCTTGGAGCGGGGTTAGGTTAAAGTTACGTGGGATGAGTTGATATGTGTGCCGCCAATGTAAGTTTTATTATTATTGTGTTTTCTCATGTCCATGGAGTTCTCTGTAAATGGAGCCATGATTATCTAGGAGCTTACTAATACTCTATATGGACATAGCAATGCCTTAGTTTTGCTGTTTTCTTCCCTTTGAGACTTTGCCTGAGTGTTGAAGCCAACCCAAATCAAAGCACTGAATCTTCTAACAAGTATTGAAATGAAACAACATCATGCCAATCAGTCCCTTGGAGGTTCTAGTCCATCGCAACATAAAGCTTTAGGTTAGGTGTTACTTACTAATTAGTAACTACCTAAAGTCAAAGTAAAAATAAATCTCTAGATGTCCATAACACCTGATTCGCGCGGGGCATGAAAGGGGAAGAAGAACCAAAAAAGAAAGTAACAGAAGAAGAGAAAGGAAAATAGAGAAAAAAAGAAAGGGGATTGAACCCAACCCGATTTGAACGGATGACCTTCGGGACTGGAATCCGACGCTCTACCGCTGAGCTATGGGTCCCTGTTGACTTTACACCGGCGGATAGGTGTGCTCAAGTTTCTGTGTTTGCCGGATAAGCAGACCGGTTCCGGACTGGGTGGATTCCCTCGTAGCAAAGATGGAAGTTCGCTCGAGCAGAGACAGTGTTGGGACTTGATTTACAGGCATACCGGTTAGCCGTGTAGGTGTCGCTGATAAGTGTACAGTGGTCCTCGGTTCCGTAATCAGTTGGTGTGCACATTGCACGTACAGATGAGTGAGGCATAAAGCCTCTTTCATTCGCCTCAGAGGCACGGCCAACCGGAATAGCACGGAATTAGAAGATAGAAGGTAAGTGAGTAAAACAAGAAATTTCACTCATACCGAGGTAGTAAATAGGAGTAGTGCACCTCGTTAAGGGGCCCCAAATGAATTCCCCATCCGAAGTGGTCAGCAGAACGGTGTCCATGTTAGGTCATCGCGACGGCAAGGCGATTGTGTGCAACTCTAATCTAGACAGTAAATTCAATCGAGTTAGAAGTCCCCAGTGTACAGCATTCTGCCAATCCAGTGCGCTGTAGTGCCTGGAATCCCCATCGAGAATGAAGACGAAATGAGTGAAGCTGCACAAGGTTGAGGTAAGAGGTCACCGTCCATCGTATTGTCGTGGAGGAAGAAAGAAGAATAAGTAAACAAAAGCCGTTGGGTCAGACCGCGTGGAACGGTTCCGGCACGGGGTTACGCTGTCCTGAATGGATGCTCTCCTCTCCCCTGATCTCGTGAAGCATAGGATAACCGGCCAACTCAATCCCTTGACCTGACTCCGATCCAGAGGCGTCGCGAACGAAAAACCCTCAATCCCGTGATGATACCCCTGGGGATTCTCCCCAGCGTCTTGCCTCGGAACGATGCTCCCTTGCCCAAGATAGGGTCGTCACAAGTATTATTATTAGAGAGCAAGATGGGGCGTCGTCCACTCTGGTCGGAGCGTCCGCGGTTAAGCTCGTCTAGAGATTGCGAAATATGCTTTGCGATTGTATTCAAGACCACTAAGATGATAGACATACAACTGCATATGATCCCGATGTTGAGTTCGATAGCGCTGGGGTTTTTTAGTTTCATTTCACAGGTATGGGTTACTTTCGTAGTCTCGATAGGCGTTGGTAGATCGGTAGTAAAAGTGCCAGTCACACTTACGTCGACAGATAGGTTACCGCGATGAGCCAAGTGAAATCTTGCGAGTGTAACAGTTGTAATCGTAGGACGGCTGCAACGGTAGAAGCAAAGCAAGCTCTAAGATATGATATTCTTGTGAGGTTCAAGGCAATCCACTATGTCGAGGAGAAGAAGGGGAAAGCGACAGCTTCACGTACAGTAGTCCTGTGAAGAAGACGGCACAGACTCCGTATTTGCGCTTGCGAGGAAGCCGGAGGCTCAAGACTAAAGTGATAGGTATAGCCAGTACATAGAAATCGGTCACGACGCTAAGCACACCAATGGCCGAAGTTATGGTGATTTTGAGGTATTCCGCAGCCACCATAAGCTTGGACGGCGGCATAATCTGCTATGACATGTGTTACGTTCGCAAGGGAGACGCTCTGTGGAAGGCTTGCTCCGTGGATATCGGGGGCGCATACAGAGACATCGGCGATTATACCAGCCACGTAACCCGAGATAACAATCACTATTGAGGCCCAGATAATCCTCCTAGGACAGGGATTAGGGCATACATCTGAGAAGGAGTTAGATCGGGCACTTTTGGCTGAGACATGTTACCTCTTTGAGTTCCAACTTTGAGGGGGCAGATAGATGAACTTCGCAACGGTAGCGGAAGTCGAACAACGATTGCGGTATCATATATAACCGAGAGAGCAGCGAGAGCCGTGCCCAACCTCCGAAGAGCCTTGTGGATGAGCATGAAATTAGGGCATATCGTCCCATCTGGGGTGTAACTAAAGGATCAGCCTGAGATATCGGAAGAAAATAAGTAAGTCTTCGCTCCCGATTGATGGACAGGAAGAGCGATGAACGATGCACAACTTTCATCATGCATGTCTGCACTGCCTCTGCTATTTTCTGGACACACGATCCCAGCCATCCAAGCGGAACCTATGTCCGCAGAAGAATTGCCCTTCAACGTAATGGCTCAAGGTTGGGAGATAACGAGGACAATCGTGTGATGTAACATATTGACAGACGGAGCCACGATTGGAGACGTCTAAGGACCTTATCCAAAAGACCACCCGTGTAGCACCCTTACGCTGAAGAGGTAAATAGTTTTTTTGGTGTCACCTTGTCAGAAACGTGCTGCGTGTCTGATTGGGGTCTGAACCGCGTGGCATTCGGCGCGACAGTTACCGAGTTCGACAACACTACCCCGAGTCACAGCAGCAGTCAGGGGCCATTTGGCCGGCTGTATGTTCGCTTTGCTCATCGGGTACATGCCACTAAGGAGAAGATTCCACTTGGTTGGGAACGGGTGCCTCGTTACCGTTAACCTTAATGTATTCCAAGCTATTTTCGGAAAGTTGAAAACTCTCTCGACGCCGAAGAGATGTCCATGAGAAGTGTACTCGTCTTCGAAGGTGTGTCATACAAGCACCGCTGCTATCACGGCTGTAACTGGACCAGTCATTGGAGGCATGTCTTTCTGATCGTATCAGCCTTTCTCAACAGGGCGGCCAACCCAAGCCATGGCCTTCAGCCAATTGTCACTGGTCCGTTGCTTTCTTTCGTTGTGACCTTCAGCTTGTTAATGCCCTTAGAAACGGTCGACGCTTGGAGGCGGGATATACTGTGTATTTCATTTCTACTCTAAACTTGTGAGCACACCTTGGACTCCTGAAGGAATACATACCCCCATACCAGCTAAGCAAGGTTACCTGGTCATCAGTTTATGGATATTGTAGGTTAGACAAGTCGATCCCGTGTCCTCTTTTCTCGTGAGCATATCATGACTTGAATAATCTCGGAAGAATCGTTATTAGATGTGGCTAGAACAGGTGATTGTGGCTAAGTAGTTACGCATTGACGCATGCAATAGCTGGGTGATTGAACACCGCCCCACTTGATACCAACTCCACAGTTAAGCCACAGTATGATGATGTCATTTCAGCTCTGCATGTCTTGGGACAAACACGAGATGAAGTCGCGAGCAAGTACTGCTGTACCCAAGGTAACAGCATTGCAGGCGGAATCCAGCACAATAACAAGGAGATCGGACGATTCTTGTTAGGTACAAGATGTCTTTGAGACCCTAACTCCGTACTGGACCAGCTAGGCAGTAGTATTAGTAAACGGAACCTGAATAACGCCAGAAACTTGAAAGGGCTAAAATCTTTTACGGCCTTCTGAAGTCTGGACAGTCCGCTAGTCTTGACGATTTGGACAACGGGTTAAAGTGGAAGTCTGCAAAAAAGCACATGCAATCTCGGAAGCTAGGAAAGTGGCTGGCTGCCACAGCCTGCCAGACATGTTGCATGTGGCAGTATCTTTCAAAGTACTGTAAATGTACCTACCCCATATTGATGACGCAGTGGTTACAGAAGGAAACCCACATCGTCATCGCTGCCTGTCCTGGAAATTGCCCTTGCAACAGAGACTCGGCCTGCCAAGGAAACCTTCCATGCTCTGTGCATATGATTCTATGAAACAAAATCAGGTGACGAGGAAACGGACGGGTCGCCGGCACCCGAGACAGTGTCTCTTAAATGATACATAACTAACGATCCAGCCAACCCTTTACTTGATCTTCCCTCCTCTCCTACCAAACCCATTGTATTCTGGATTCCTGAGCAAAAACAGACTTTTGTCGCAAACAGAATTCTGCTTCGTATACAAAATCAACCACCAACGTGAACAGCATTTCCCAAGTTTCACTTTGAAATAAACACGCACACACATATTCAAAATGGCTTTCACCGCTAGGTACGTCGCGACATCCTGGTTTGCGTAATCCAAAGAAGACGGATTGATAGACTGACGGGAAATCCCACAAATAGCGACATCTGCAAGATCTTCTTCGCCATCATTCTGCCCCCTCTAGGAGTCTTCCTCGAGCGTGGCTGCGGCGCCGACTTCTTCATCAACCTGCTTCTGACCATCCTGGGTTACATCCCCGGCATCATCCACGCGCTGTACGTAATAACCATCCAAGCCTGCATTTTCTTTCTCCCCAACCTCCGCCATTCAACGTCACACGCAACGACGAGAGTAAAAAACACCCACTCCGCTCCACCCGAAAAGCTTTCGCGCCGAGCCCAAGGCCGAGAAACCGAGCCCAGCAAGCCCAGCCAGCGTTAAGCTCAAATTCTTGCACACCAATTCGCTCTACTTGTTGTGCGATACAATCACTAACACTCTCGTTACTTTGCAGGTACATCATTCTGAAGTATTAAACCAATCGCTTCGGTTCAGAGAAACAACTGGGGAGCAAACGAAAGCCCGGCCCTTTGCATTTGTGATACCCACCATCCCGCGATTCCATCATCTTGCCCACGTCGAGTCCTCTCGCCTCTATTCAAAAACAAGACGCATTCGATAATTTCAATTGAGCTCTGCTCTCGCGACAATGAAGGAAGAGTGCATAAGCGGCATGACCTACCCTATCCCACTGCATACGTCACACGAGTCAAGATGAAGAAAAACCGAATACGGGTTAGCATCTGATTCTCGGCCTCGGCGCGAAGTGGGGTATACTGGCCACGATCATTCAGCCCACTTCTGCTTGGTTCGATGTTGCCGATGCTGTTTTTCGACTCTTCCGACTCTTCCGACTTGCGATATATAGAGGAGGACTGCGACCTCCTATGGCTAAGAAGATGATTTTTGGCTGACTGGATTCAATCGGCTTTGCATCATCATAACCTTTTCCTTTGTTTGTTTCTTTTCCGTTTCACTGTTTTTAATGAGCAATTCCGCTATGGTTCGGCCAGGGATAGGGCGTTGTCTTGCTGTCTGGCCTGGTCCATGACTGGGTAGAAGGTGGCTCGCGGCCACCTGGATGTTAATGATGAATGAAAGCCAGATACCCATTCTCACGG